CGGAACCAGATGGACGGTATTATTAAGCCTGGAAGTTCTACATACAAATGTTTGAAATTTGTATCAGCGGCATCAAAGTAATGACGTTAATATTTTTCCAAAATATTTTGGCGGAAGTCTTAAAATATAATAGATTTTGCAATTCCGGTCGGAAAAAATGAATTTTTTCGCCATTGTCTACTGTCGAAAAATCAAAAAAAAAAAAAAAAAATCAGGCATAGTAAGTGAAAAGTGAAAAAAGTGACGGTCAAAACCGAAATGTCAAGGCATGAATTAAGTTAAAGAGGTCGAAGACTGCCACCTTTGCCATCTCTACCAAACTGGTGTGATCAAGTGTTTGAGTCGCTTCGATTTAAGAAAGTGGTAAATTGATTTCTCCTATTTGTCATGGATACAGCTTTTGTAGTGAGAACTCGCTGACATTTGCCATCGGTTGTGCATCGATACAGCAGCATAGTGTTATCATGCGGATAAGAGCTGTATCTGCATAAGTTTTTACTTTGGTTGCCTTATTTCTATCGTTAGAGCATTGCTTTCAAAAGAACTTGGATATCGACGAAGATTTTACCATTTCCCCACCGAATTGTTATTTGCTAAGTAGAAGATATGTATGTATATGTGTTTTGGCGCTCACACATTTGCCAAATATTTGGCCGACCTTCTAGAAGAATAGTCCCTTCTTTTATAGCATACCGAGGGTTTATATTCAATTCCCTCCATCTGCAATTTTCACAAAAAACTACTTTGTGATGTTAGAACCAATCTGGAACATACCTGTTATCACTGATGTTAATTCTAACTTTGCAGTTTAATAGTAAATTCGACTGTCAAGTATTATAAAAGGTCAGCATTAAAATCACTGATGACAGTTAAGTGTTAGATGGATTTTTATATCCGTTTTTGTTGATGTTGCGCCGAACTGAGATCGAGCCTGAGCTCTGGTAATTATTTATTCTTACCTTTTAGCTCTTGGCCGCCAGTTACAATTTTAAAAGTTGTTTTTAGGCTTAATATGTATGAGGTTATAATAAGAAAATTCAACAAATAAATATGTATATAAATGTATAAAAAACAACTAGTAGGCACACCTGCAAGTGGTTGAGTTGTGACCTTGGAACATTTTTTGGAAATAATACACTTGGTTAAATCACTTTCGGCGGTTGATATATATATAATTTCTATTAGATACGAAGGCGATTTGAAAAGTCAGTGTCTTTTTGAATAAGATATATATTTTTCCGCAGAAAAACGTTTTATTTCTAAAACAGCCTCCTTCAAGCCCGATACATACGAACATTCGTTTCATTGATAACCTCCTTCTTCGATCCAAATTTCTTATCGCCGAGCTATTTCTTTGGGTTTTAAAGCAGGAAATAGTCACTGGGGACTAAATCTAGTAAATATGGTGTAGAGTTCGTGGAGTTCGTAGCCCAATTGATGGATTTTTTCTATGATCACTTCACACGGGTATTGTTTTGATGGAACAGCACTTTTTTTTGTCCAAATGTCAAAATTTCTCAACAATACTCGCCAGTGACAATTTTGCCTTTTTCAAGGTCATCGATGTGAATGACATCAAAAACAATGGCCATGACCTTAATGACTTTGGCTTTCTTTGATACACTTCCTGATTGTTCCTTGGTCTCTGGTGTGTTGTAGTGCATCCATGTTTCATATTGCGACTGAACATCGCCAAAGTCTCCTTCCATGGATTTTATCGATGATTTCTGGCCTTTCCTTGGTTTCGGTAATGGTTTTTTTTTCTATTTGTATTAAAATTCATGCCGTTGCCTGCTTTCAATGGCTGTCAAGTACAAACTGAATGCAATCGATGGCAGTTTACGGGAGCTGTATGGCATTTAAAGTTACTGGGCGGGAAATTCAAAAAGTCACTGACTTCTCATATTTTCCTCGTATTTTGCAAGAGCCATATGAGCGTGCCATTGAATCAACAGCAACTTCCTACCATATTCATGCTGAAAGGCTTCTGCTGAATAGGTTACATCTTCTGTTGTAAGTATTACTAACTTAACTTTGATTCCAAATAATTATTTCACCGTCTAACTCGAGGCAAATTGCAGTATGTAAAATTCTTTCCGGTTACATTTGCGACATTACCGTTGTTCTCCTTTTTTAAATGGCAATGATAAACTAACGTAACGCGAAAATATGAGTATATTTAAACTGGAAATCTAATATGCGTCTAAAGGTCTATAATAAATATGCTTTGTTGCTTCTTAAATGTTTCGCTTACTAAACTAGATAACTTGCAGTATCGGGTTTCTCTATATAAATCTTAAAAAAAATTTATAAAAACGAATTTTAACGACCTACGAAAATTGGGGTTTCAATCAAAAACAAGCGTTTCTCTGCAACGAGATATTATTTGAAATATTGAGTACTTTGAAACTACCAAATAGGTACATAGGTAAAAACTTGAAGTATTATAATGTATTAAATTTACGAGAACTATGTAGATAAGTTTATCACATTTCTTCTCTATAAATACTTGCTAACATACATCAGATCTAAGTATAAGTATTTAAAAACACAAATGCACATTTACGAATTTATTTTGAATTAGACATCAAATAGTTAGTGAAATAATGCTAGAGTATTCTACGAAGAGTGCGCTAGACTAATTCAGATATGTCAACAATAGAGTATTGGGCAGAAAGATAATAAAAAAAACAGTTAATTTTTTTTCCGATACCGGGTTATAAAATATAGTTTCACTTTCAAAAAATCGAAAAACATGCAGCAATCAATATACTCACGATACTGTAGGCCAAATATGGTAAAACTGCGTTTTAACTTTCTCTCTCTCTCTCTGACGCCAGGATTTTTTTAAAGGGACTTTGTAGTTTGGAAGATATGATTAACCCTTTCAGGGCTAAGCGAAACATATTTCTCCAAAATATTATTCCACTATTTATAAGATTTTAGTGGATTCTCTTGTTTTCAAAGAGTTTTTAAAAATTTTAGGTTTTTTTATCAATATTAGGAAAATATTAAAAAATAATAGTTATTTAAGAATCATTTTTGGAGAAACACAAATTTTATAAAAAAATATAATTAATAAACCGATTTTTACGAAAATAAAAAATGTTCGCAGTAAAAGTAATGTTTTCGAAAATATTACATATTTTTGTAAATAAACATCTCAAGAATAACATTTGTTTAGTATTAAAAGTAGGGTACTAAGTTTTTACGGATAATGCAGTTAAAAAATTTTTTTCCAGAATTGTAAAAATATACCCTTGTGCTGATTTCTTTGGGGAAAACAATGTTTGGGAATACTAAAAAAAAAAACAAAAGTGGCTTAAAAACCCAAGAAAAAAAAATTCACAAAAATTGTTGTAGAGATTAATGAAAATTTGTATGGTATAAAAAATTAAAAAAAATGTTTTTAGTTGAGATTAAAGAGATTTTTTAGGATCAAAATTATTTTACTTATACCTCGGCTAATCTCATGTTACAATTAAATCATGAATTACTTATTATAGGCTTATGGTCCTTAAAGGGTTAATTCCAAAAATTATTTAAAAAATTTAGTACAATGTAGAATAACAATATGTGTACCAATTGAAAGAGAAATTTTTCTATCATTAAAAATAAATAAATTTTTTGGTTCACAAGGACGATTAGGTATTGAATATGCCCTTTTATGTAATTAAATTTAAAAGACTAAATTTCATGAAGTGGTCTAGTGTATATTAGTCCCTTACATAATATTAAACAAATAAATAATAATTATTGCAAATTTTAGAAAATATTCAAGGATAAAATTTTAAAAGGACATATTCAATACCTAACGCCCTTAGGTATCAAAAAATTTAGTCAGCAATATTTCTACAGAACTTTATCTGTAATTAGATATCAATAGTGTTTTTCTACATAATCGTATTTTTCAATTTTAAAATTCCGTTTAAAAAATCCCTACGCCAGAGAGAAAAACGTTTACTTTATTTGGCCCATGGATTCGCGCATATATTGTTCTAACAGTTAAACTAAATTGTACATATTTTGTTCTAACACTTAAACTAAATTATATACATAGATTTAGATCCCTCTATTAAACAAACTCGCACACTAACTGTCATGTGGTAAATGAAAAATCACACGCACACATAAAATATAAGAACGTATTAATGCATATAAACACTGACAGTTTTATACTCAAAAACCAAAATATCAGGCGCTTCCATTACTCAAAGAAATGACTATGAAATCAAAGAAGATAACAAAAGCTAAATTAAAATAAATTCAATGCAAAGAAAAAATATTTATAAAATACAAAATACCAACGAAAGCAATAAATGTTATATATATATATTTTTTTTGTTAAGTGAGCGGCTTGTAGACCTACCTAACTTTCTCAATTTTAACTTTGTTTATTCCATTTTCCGTATTTGTCGCTCTTCCACGATCTTGTTGTACAAAACCTTTCTCTTGCACTGTATTTTTATACTCTTTCAATTGCAATGCAAAAGTGTCCAGATTGTGTTTTCGCCTTAACTCTCTCAATGATTTATTTTCCTCAAGAATATTTAAATTGCATATATTTACTTTTAATATACATAAATGTTGTAATTGAAATAAGCACAAGGAATTTCAGCTAAAAGATCAAACGCTGCGCATTTCAAATTTTGGAAAATAAACGAAGAGCGCACACTTTCTACACAACAAACAAACAAAATCCATTTCCAAAGATATTTAAATAACTTAAACGCTCTCGAAATTTAAATTAAAAAAAAACGGTTTTTCAAAGCAAATCGCAAAATCCAAACTGGAGAAACAATGCGCTGGCAGTTGTGCAAAATGAAATCTGAAATATCCAAGTAGTACCTTAGAAAACATTAATAAGAAAAAATAAAATAAAAATTTAAAACTTATAAACATAAAACTAAAATTCAAAAAGAAAAAAGTTTAAATGATAAAAAATAAACAAACCGCACACACAGAACCTTGTAAATCCCAACCAACTAACCTAATGATAGTGCGACGTTTTACAGTCGCCTTCTTTCAAATTTTCACGAAAGGCCTCGTCGAGTTACTCGCTGAAATTGGATCCGCCCGGCAAGGGAAAAATCAAGGCCAAGCGAAAGCCGTTGAGCACACCGGCATCGCCGTCGCGCGTACGGAGCGAACCGCAATGCACCTGCATGTCGGCCGAACAGTATGCCCGTCTCCGGACCGATCCCAGAGTACGAGGTGAGGATCAACAACAACTAAGTACTACCACCTTTTGCTACTACTTACTAATACTACTACAACAAACTGTTACTCTAAACTTTTAAAGTTGAACTATGTAATGTTGAAATGACTATTCTCTAATAGAATACTTTACCAGTACCGTTGATTGCATGCGACCACAAAGTAGGACATACTTAGACATATACTTGCATACATATTTACATATACAAAACTTCATACACGTCCCCAAACTGAAAACTTATAAAATGACCACATAACTTAAAATTTGTTGAAATTTCTGCAATGTCTTAGCTGTCAACATACAATTTTCAGGCGTTCATATTTTTAGGTTATATTTATGTGGCTGATTCGGGATATTCACTTCGTTTTTTTTTTTTTGTTTTAGATAGGCTCTTGTTTATGAAGTTTGCAAAGCTATCGGTTGCTAAGTTTTGAAAAGATTTATTTTCTTTATTTATATCGTGGCGACAAAGAATACACCCCCGCTGCTTTCCTGGACATCGACGGTGCTTTCAACAATGTATCTGCTGCAGCGATTATCTCATCTCGTTTATCGAACTAATGCTAATTGGACAAGGAATAGGCGCAGAATTAGGCGAATGAGTAATTAAAAGGTTCCTGCTCAGTGGTACGCCCCTGGAGGGAGTTATATCGCAGCTCATGTGGAACATAGCAGTAGATAGTCTTCTTCGATAACTTAAAGATATTGGCGGTCGAATAATTGCATACGCCAAAGGGAATTCTTTACGATTTCTATAGGATTGTTTTCAAAGGCTAATCCTGTTTTCGTTTTCTGGACATAACAACACTGGGAGTTCCGAAGTTGATCTTCTGAAACGTTCCTCGTTTGTTACTTAAGCTACTCGAAGTTACCACGAGCGAAACGTTCATATGCGTTCCGCGAACAAATTGATTAGTAAGAAGAGAACACATGAGAGTGAAAAACACGCCAGGAAAAATGGCAGATGCTAACAGCTTCGTTGGACACAAAGTTAATTTAACAAATTTCTTAAAACATCTCAATGCTGAGCAAGCATAACTGAGCCATAACAAAAAATTTTCACGAAAAATTTCTCCGGACAAATCGCACAAAAAAGAACCTAATTTTGGGTAATAGATTATGGATCTGTACAACATTTTTCTAGATCATCTCATTTTCGCAAGATATTTCCATTTTAAGTTTGCATTGCCAATGAAAAAAAAAACTTAAACTTTAACATGGAAAATGTTACTCATACGCCATTGTAGAAGTATGTACGAGTAGGGACAAGTACGCTATGGCGTATGAGTAACATTATTTCCTGCTCCTATTTCATATAAAAAATTATTGCACATTTTCATTTGTCCTTTCGCAACTTGTTTCTTTATTCAGGATTCAATACAAAATGTTAGTTTTTAAATTTTTTCTTTGTTAACGTTTGAATTTTTTTTTTTTATAGAAATGAAAGTATCTTGGGAAAATAACCTGATCTGGACATGTTTTGGCGTTTTTGTCTAATTTCAGATTGAGATTTTCCCTACATTGTAATCTGTGTTGGCAGACATATTTTTGTCTAAATTTACCCAAAACTTTTTCACGAATATTTGTGTAAAGAGCTTAGTTTGCGAGTTTCTTGCTTAGCGCGCACAGTTGGAACTTACCTCGCTTGGAGCTAAACCCAATATTAAATCATAGTGCAGTTTTTTTTTTTAAGTAAAATCAATATTTTGAAAGAAAGAGATGGAACAGCTAGAAGTAATGTTGCATTACACATTGGAATAGCTTTTTGGATTAGGCAAGTTACATATCCATACATATATATTAGGCTTATACACATAATCAAATTTAATTCCAAATTATTAGCGATTTCAATTGAATAACTGGTCATGAACGGAAGCACTTACTGCAAGAAAATTGCAAGGACTTTTTCATGCTTTGTAGAGAGACTTGTACATGCATATTTAAAGAAATTACAACAGGACGTGCAACAAACACATACATATGTACGCACTCTTACACATTTCCATTTTATCAATTGTTCTTGTGGCTGACAACTCATTTACATATACATGCCTCTATGTAAGAACAATTTTATACTTGCATACACACAAACATACATGCATAGATATGTATGTAATACATTTATACAAAGATTAAAACTACCTACATTAGTCTGCCCACATAACACTATTATCTCCTATCTTTTATTTATTTTTCTACTTTCATTCCACTGATTCCACCAAACCAATATCCGTCTAAAATCCAATAAAATCTCGGTTACATTTACACATACATACATACCCTACTCATCACCCACGACGGACTCCCCATTACTACATTACCCATTTCACTACTACGATCACAACAAAAAACGCCAAACGCCTTCTTTTCATTCCTTCACTTTCGCTACATACAAGCACACATACATACATATATACATACATACTTACATACGAACATACTTCGCCATCGCAATCTCATCACACCTCATTCACATTTTGCAGGTTCATCCACTTTGCCACGCTCAGTAGGCTCTCGCATAACCGATGTCGATGTTGGTGGACAACAGAAGGTGATGGCAAATGCCACCAGCAGCACTTCATTGTACGATAATGTTGCCAGCAGTGGTGTAGGAGCTCAATCCATGAATACACTTGGCGGACAAGGTAAGTGCAGCATAACGCAAAACTATGACTATTTAATACTAGGTTTACACATAAGTTAATTCCCTATTCTATAATTAAAAAAAAGAGATTAGCCATACGAAATTAATTCCTTCTAAATCTGCAATTATAAAAAAATTCAGATCAAACCGATAACTTTTCGGTGCCCAACCTAGTTTTATCGATTATTTTTGTGAAGAAGAGGAGAAATGTCAAATGTAAAAGTAATCAAAAATGGTCTTATGCAAGGAAAAGAGGTTTTTAATGGTTTTTTTTATTGATAAAATATTAAGATAAAATATATTTAATATAGCAGAAAAACGTAATCACAGTGGCACAGAGAAGAAACTTAACTTTTCCTTGAGCTGTGGAATAACAAGCACAGCTAATAATCTGAGATTTTCCTGTGTAAACGGGTGGATTAACAAACGAGATTAACGAAATTAAGATTATCTGTATATGTAAACGCACTTTAAGGTCGGTGTTATGCAGACAAACTTTTTTTTGGCATCTGCTCAGTTTTCTCTGAGCTTATTATGTCGACTTTGGCAAAGGGTTGCATGTTGATTTTGATTTTTATGCCCATTGTCAACGCGAAATGAAAAAAATTTCAGATTTATGTATCCGGCAAAAATTTATATTTTTTATTATGTTTCATAGGCAAATAACTGTGCCCTAAACTTTGAAGCTCCCTTGTCTTCTGATTTCCAAAAAATTTTTTGTGTATAATAACCTTAAATTTTGTTCATATGGCAACACTAATTTTACAGCAGTTTGTCCCAAAAGAATTTAGTGTGCTGTGAGAGTCACCGAATTCTCGCTCTGCGAGTTGTCTGCAACAACAATAGCATGCAGTTTATCAAACAAAATTTCTGCATACAACCGACCTAAATCATGCAATTTTTAAATACACACACATATACATATGTATGTGCATGAACGCAATAAGTGGAATACACTAAACAAAATTATATTTATTAGTTAATTAGCTAAAGCAAAATTTTGTACACGCGACCTATTTGCCCAATTCTAAATATCTCACTGAATTTTTCGCTTGCAGAATAAGTACATATCGTGGCCTGGATAAAAGATTTTCGTATGTTACTTTCGGCAGGTTTTGGAAAATCCCGATTGAAGTTTGGAATGAAGTTTCTCAAAAACGCGATTCTCCAAAGTCTCGGAGAAAGTGACTAGTTCACGAACTTCTTAAATTACTTATTTAATTTTATTGCTTACCGTTAATTATTTTTGAGTTTACGAACGATTTTCTGCAGTAAAATTTTGTCGTATGTTACATTTGTCAACAATTTCGCAGCCACTTTTAAGACATACGAAAAAATGTGATACAAATTTGTACAAAATTAGCGATGCTTTTTACTCAATCTCTATCGGAAACTGAAGGAGATATCCAAAAATTAAATTTTTCTTCATTACCGATAAAAAATTGTAAATATCTCGGAAACTACACTTATGGGTAAAAAATATTAAAATCAAATTTGATCTTACTAAAAACGTCAATGAAAGTACTGTATAGTAGAAAATATACAACTAAAATACGCCCTTATTAAAGTGAAGCATTTTGCACTTCCCGGATGGCGTTTTGCGCTTCACTTTTTATCTTTAAATACGCACATTTTTAAACGATAATAAAAGAAAATCAGTTTTTGCTATGCGTTATTTCCGTCAGTGTAAAGGAAACATATAAAAACTTATACCACCAATCCAAAGGCTTTTTTTTAAATATAAATATATAACTAAACTATAATTAATAATAATATAATAGATTGGCGCTTACACATATGTTAGTGTTTGGCCGAGCTTCTCCTCCGATTTGTGCTGTGCGCCTTGATGTTGTCACACAAAGCGGAGGGACCTACAGTTTTACGCCGACTCCGAACGGCGATTGTATTTTTATGAGAAGCTTTTTTTTCTATAATTAAGTATTACAAAAATGGTTCTTACGACAGTCTTTTATCCAGGCGATGATATGTACATATATTGTTCAGTCAGAAAAGGTCCGCCTATTTTAAAAAAGGGGATGGAGTAATTTTTAGCGAATTGGAATCTTCCACATTCGGAGTCGGCTGTTGAGGCAGGCAGTGTCAATTATCTTTCTATGATAAAACGGGATAATTGCACTCACCGCACGAATACAAAATAAGTGATAATTCCTAACATGGGCGTGCCCAAGTTTGTAAGTTTCTTCTATGCATTTCATAGTCAATTCCCAATTCAAAAAGTTTATGAAATAATGGCTGCATTTCTTTATTCATTCTGAATGTTTGGAATACACTTTTTTGTTTATTTATTCTTTAGAACGTTCCTAATGATATGTTGACGTATATTTCAAACGCATTCTGTTTATTCCGGCTGTGAAATGGGATTATCCGGAATGTATAAAGAAACGCAGCCAATAATAATTTAAAACTTTAGGGGCCTTCACATGCATTTTGGTAGTTTTGGTAAACTGCTGGTGGTTACTCGATAATTTTATCAACTCTGAACGCTCTATTTAGCTTACTTTTGTTAGTCTGATAACTTATGTTTATAAACAGCTGAATATTGCAATTTTCCTATACAAAAAAAAAAATTTAAATAATATTTATTAAATCCATTTTACTCCAAAAAAAGGTAAAATATTTATTATCTTTTAATATTTTCTACTTATTTTGTACTTGAATTTGGGTTTTGGTATGCTTAGCGTTCACAGAGAGAGAAAACAAAAATGAAATCATCACTAAAACAATTTGGTCGAGTTCAACAAAGCACGCCAGTCGTTTCTCTTCTGTGCCAACTGACGCCAATGGGAAATGCCAAGTGAAGACGAGGCCGTCTCCACTTGGTCTTTCCATCGCAGTGGGGACCTCCCTCTTCCTCAGCTACCACCAGCGGGTTCCGAGTTGAAAACTTTCAGAGCTAGAGCGTCGGTGTCCATTCGAATAACATGGCCAAGCTAGCGGACCGCTGTCGATTGGCCACAGAAAAATATGGTTATTTATAAACCTAATCCGCTATATAACTAAAAGGCATGAAATTTGGAGTAGTGCAGAGAGCCATCGATATGAGAAACTCTGTAACACCCTGTAACCGCTGGTAACAGAAGAGGATGAAAGGGCCAGGATGGAAAGGGCTTAGCAGCAATTAGCACAGAACGGAAACGAGTAGCGTAATTTAAAGCATTCGATCTCATAGAGAAATACATATATTCAAAAAAGATTAACTAATTTGCAAGTTGCTGCAATTTTCTAATGATTTCCCCTAGTTTGGAGCGTGTTTGTATACATGAGCATTAAAACGTGATAATTTGTGACAATTCTTACAAATTATTTGCTGCATGAACAGGCATAATATCAGATTTACATATATTGCAGTGCTCATGAACTAGCGCTATTTTTGCAAGCGCAACTAGTAATAGTCAAATATTTGAACGCCTTTATATTTTCAAGGAATAATAACACAGTGCTACAAAAGCCAAAAACGGAATACCCCAGAAATGCAACATAGTGCACGTTATAGGAGGGTTCGAATACAAAACACTAATAGGTTTCTTATAGTTAGTCCGTGAAGCCTACAATTTATTTTATTAAATAACGGTATTTTACTACTTGATATAGTAGTCTTTATTGTAGGATTACTCGATGAAAACTCCCAACAATTCAAGTCGAACAATCGATTTACATATATGTATGTACCATTTTAAAGATTTATACATAAATATTCATTAAAAACCAAGACCAATCTTTTAAGAAATATTAAGCTAGTTCTGAATTCGACTGAATAGTATTTACAAATCTTTTTGTATGTACATATGTACTTAAATCTCACTGCCAGTTATCGAACAAGTACGGTTTTAAGAAAGAGTTTTTCTTTTTACATGCTTAATATGTACATATATGTTCCGAATTCGAATCAAATCGCACTGTAAATACAGTCTTTTGAGATATCTCGACTTCAGTGATACTTATGGTGATAATTTCAAGAGAAAAGTATTTGTATTTATTTATGTGGATGAAACATTTTCTTAATTTGGATCAAATCGGACTGTAAATACGGGTTTTAAGAAGATCTCGAATCCAGCGCCACCTATCGGGCCAATTTTGAAATAAAATATTTCTTTTCATGTGACTAATAAATGTTCATATCAGCCATTTGGAGATCACCACAGCTGTTTGTACGTCTCCTTCTTTTTAGATTTTATATATTTTTTTTTAGTTCTCATTTACAAAAATTCAAACCTGAATAACGTTATTTACAAGTAATTTTTAGCAAAAAAAACCGACTTGAAGTCTTATATAAAAAAAAAATATATATATATATATCTCATGATCCACTGATCGTATCTTAACCAGATTAGTATGGGACCACCTCTGAGACACTACCTTTCCGATGCAAAAAGAAATCGGTTGACGTGGTCCCAAGTTACAAAAGTAACATACATAAAAAAAAAATCCGACGAACTGATAACCTCCTCCTTTTTTGGAAGTCGGTTAAAAAATGAGAAAACTTTATGTTTGGAAACCGCCAACTTGGTATAAAAAAAATAAATCTTAAAAAATTGTTTGGGCTGAACATATAGCAGGCAGCCCAACTATCCCCTATTTATAAATATAATTATTGTTATTAATTCTTAATTGGATCATAAATTCATTTTAAATATGTTCGATCAAAAACAATAAATCAGCAATTTTGCTTAACAAATATATTGTGTTACTAAACTAAAAAAAATTATAGTTTAAGAAACTAAAACCTCCCTATTATAATTGCCATTCGTACTGTCATAAGGTATGTAACTTGAGAATAGAAATCGCTGCATCTTTTAGGCGCATCAATATTACATAGTTACATCCCAAGCTAATAAAAGGAAGGTAATAATAATAATAATAATGGCAGTTGATTTGAAAGATGTCAACTGAAAAAGTTTGAATATAATATAGAACTCGAGATCAGTGAGCCTCAAAACCTAGCACGTTTACTTCTTGTGAAGTTCTGCTTAGTTTTAGAGAAATTGACAGCCCATTCCTATTCGACAGCTGTCAAATCTCAAGGTTTTAATTTCACGTAAAATTCGTGACTAGCGTGTTTAAAACCCTTACCAGTAACATTTAAAAAACATTTTCTTATTTTCGGAAAAACTAACAGTCAATTTGACAGCTGTCAACTCTCAAAGCTTTAATTTGACATAAAATTCGTGATCAGCATGTTTAAAAACCTTATCAGTAAAACTTTTAAAAAGATTATCTGATTTTTATACAAATTGGCAGTCCGTTTGACAGCTGCTGATTGCCAAACTTTTAATTTGACATAAAATTCGCGACTATCGTGCCTAAAAACCTAATTAGTGGTATTTTCAAAAAGATTTTCTTATTTTGACAGCTGCCAACTGTCAAACTAAAAATTGTATGGCATATTCAGATTTAGCATAACAAAAATACTACAATGATGCATTTTTATTATAATCGTAACACCCCTTCTAATTTTTCGCGTAAAACATAGCTTCTCCGACCACTGTGTACCGCTTACATTTTATTCAGTAGAAAGGCTAGGGATAAATTTTTCAGTGTACATACATCCATACTCCACATGTTCTTTAAAAGTGCATCAAATTAAAATTTCTTGTTTACCAAAAAACGCAAAATACAATTTCTGAGCTGAGTTAATCAAATGAGGCAGGAAGGCTTTACTGTGGCTTGTGACAAAATGAGAAATTTTGAGTTAATACATTTTAGAAAAATTGTTGCGATAGTACCCAAATAGTATACATGAATGTATGTAGTTTTAATGTAGTATGAATGTATGTATATGCACTTTATTTGTAAGTTTTATAGCTTTGCAGTCTTGTAGAGCTTGAAATGAATGTGCGCTGAAAGCTTTTTGTGGAATCAATAAGAAAGCCCTTAAAATACTGATACTTCTTTACGGTGCTCTCGTTTAGCGCATGCGCTCTTAATTGAGAGGGCAATTCAGCTTAAAAGCTATGCATTTCCATTAGGTTTCGAGCTTAACTAAGTAATTTAAGAAGCTTTTTTTGAAATTATGGGAAAATAAAAAACTTGAATAAATGATAAACGGATGAAATATAACACCTGTAAATATGTACATACATAAAATGCATACAATTTTCAACCATTTTTCCTTTGGTATATTTTTTCTTTTTCCATAAAACTGCGTTAATAGACACATTGGGTCGCCAAGTAAAATCACAACAAGATGCGAATATCGCCGCCTCGAATGCAGGTGTGAACACGGGCACTCCTAGCGTTATGGTTTCCGGAGTTGCTACTGGCACAAATGATTTATGCACACAAAATCATGTTGGCTCGCAAGTGGGTCCAGACGATGGACTTGTTGGCGGTCAGCAAGACATGGATGTGTCGAAGAATGAAGGCACTCAAGTTGGTGGGCCATTGCACCAGAATGTTGGCACCTCCACGAAGTCTACCGGCACACGCACTAAGGATTATATGGATGAAATGGTGAGTATATAACTGGTAGTTGAACTGAAAGGGCCTAAATTGATACCCAAGTAAAAATGTAAAAAATTATACTCATAATTAGATAGCCACTATTTTTTTATAATTAGAAGTGGGGGGAAAGTGGGGGAAAAAATGTCTTAAGTGCCGTTTTCTCATGTAGATTTTATGGTTTATCTGCCCTTCAAACATATTTTTTAGAACAAGATTTGTGTTTTAATGCCAGATAAATTTTAAGACATATTTGCATGAGAAAACAGCTCTAAGACCTTTATTGTAATTAATTGAAGCGTACACTCGCTCCATTATATCTGCGTACACCCTTGTTTTTATTTAATATTCACAATGTTTTGCAAGCTATAACTTTTTTATTATTTTTGTACAAAAATATGGCTCATACTACAAACAAAACTATATAAATCAAAGTTTCAAACATTATACAGTATTAAGGAAAATTTAACGAATTCTCATCAAAATTTTAAACTTTTACTCAGAGTTCTGAGTACTCAGATTTAAAAACAAAAATGTCTGGTATGCAGTTTTATAGCCCATTCAATTTTAGTATAACGATGTACAAATTTGAAGTTGCAAAAAAAAAAACGCGTTGATTTTTAATAATTTTTTGTCTGACCACTAGGTATTTTTCTCCAAACAAGGTATGAGCGATTTTTTTATATGGAAGAAAATATGTGGAGCTGTCAGCAAAAAAAAAACATTAAAAAGCAACGCGATTTCTTAGGTACTTCAAATTTGTACATTGTTATACTAAAATTGAATGGGCTATAAAACTGCATACCAGATTTTTTGTTTTTAAATCTGAGTAAAAAGTTTATACTTTAGACGAAAATTCGTTAAATTTTCCTTAATTTTGTATACAGTTTGAAACATTGACCATATGTTATTATACAAAAATAGCAACAAACAAATTATAGCTTGAAAAACATTGTGAGTATTTAAAAAAAAAAACAAGGGTGTAAGCAGATATAATGGAGCGAGCGTATATCGATGGCTGAGTGGAAGATCGACCTATCTCGGCAGCCAGTTCGAAAACGCTCTATTTCAAAAAACTTTTCAAGAACGCCCTATTTCAGAAGTTGTTTCAAAAACGCCCTATCTCAGCTGCCGATTTAAAAACGCCCTATATCAGCATATTTTCAATACATTTTGAAGTGAGATATGGCGCTTTTGAACCGAATTTTGAGATAGGGTGTTTTGCAATTAAAATCTGAAATAGGGCCTTCTTGAAAAGTTTTTTGAGATAGAGCGTTTTGGAACTGGCTGCCGAGATAGGTCGATCTTCCACTCAGCCATCGATATGTAGTATGTAGCTCATAGACAATCAAGGTGCATACTTCCAAAACTATTATTGTGGTCGCCATTCAAAGAAGGAGGTTATTATACTTTTTCGTTGGAAGTTTATTTAATGTGCCGCGTCTCAAACTCAACTTATGATCAGAACCAGATCTAGTTTTGTTGAGCACATGTATATATTTCGAGTCGATTGTGTGAGTCTGGTCTCAGTGCTGGAATTAAACCAGCATTCAGCCTCAGGGCAGTCAACACTAAAAAATCTCTTCAACAAAGGTAATGGTGGCATACTATCCTGTGGCATTGAAAATACAAAAGTGCTTAGATCTCGGCCGCCAGCAATTTTCGCCTTGCTCCGCTCTTCGCAATCTTGTCGTCTTTCATTCTTGGGAAAAAACGTTACTGACTCCATTTGGTCTTTAAACCGAATAGTTCGAAGTGGCCCTACCAGAGCTTTTTCTCTTTGTGGGGAGACCGGAAGCTTCGCTTATTCCGAAAAATTATTCTATAGTATATATATAGTAGTATTCTAAATTCCTACTTCCATAAGGCGGCAATGCCTTTGCTAAAGTAAATAAATTCGCCGGGGAAGTGGTAAAGACCACCGAGTGAAGTGTATGTTGCTGGCGAGGCATTATTACGTGCTCCTATTTCATACGGGGTACACATGCACACATATACATACATACATATATATATGACCTTCTTTCTCCTTTAATGTTTGTGTCAGTAAAGTGTGAGGAGAATAAGGAATCGTATTACGTTCTACTTCCCCCTTCATGCTGGCTCTTGAAGCCACCTCTCATCTAGCTCTAAAATGAGCCAAGCCGGCTCCTAAGTGCAAACGGTTCTTGGGAGCCACTTTGTCAATCTCTGGCGTAGTATTTATATATGTATAATCGTTCTACGGAGCAGGCCTCTACTTTTCCCGATATCAGTTATACATATGCCTTAGATTGAGTGGTCTGATGTGTTACTACGTAACTTTAAAAACTACGGTTGTGAACGTAATTTTCCATGCCAAGAATAATGATTTTTCATAGAGGCTTTGAACTATGCATTTCTTACCGGTAAACGTATACCACTTTGCTCTCTCTAAAAACAAATTTACTTCAGACAAGTTTTTAACCAAATTAGACTAGGATTTACGGAAGCGACGTGACCAGCGTTGCCGCTTTGGTAATTTTTAACCAAAAATTGGTAATTTTTTTTCTTTATTTATCAAGTTTGGTAATTTGGTAATTTATTTTTCAATTTGTTAACTTTTTCGATTCGGTCTTACATGGTTCTGATTCCACATTAGTAAGTGGCCTGTAAGCGTTTCCTTTTATAGAAATACCAGGTAATTCTGAAAGTTTCGCAAGGTGAAAGTGGCTATTGCTAAGTATATCCACCGCGTCCTTTCCTGGAAGGTTTTGGGTGGTCCTACCTTTCCCTGTCAGTTCGTCAGCTTTGCCATTACCATCAATTTTCCGGTGTACCCGGCAACCATATATATGCGTAGAATTCGACGTAAATATGTACGTTCTCGTTCAAAAAGCTACGGCATTCAGCGGGGAACTTCACTTTGTCTATATGGGAGTCGAAAGCTTTCCTTCTGGCGTTGAATTTTTGATATATTTTCTTGTCACTTGTTTACATAGAGTGGGCCAAAAAATTATAGCCCCACCATTTTTTGACAAGTTTTAACATATTAAAAAATTTACCAAACTTATTTTATGTGCAAAACTGTACAAATATACATGTCGAGCCCTAACTGCCAAAATAACGTTGGCATGTTTGTGCAGGTCTTCACATAAAATAAGTTTGGTAATTTTTTGTTGAATTTGGTAACTTTTTTCGGTGATTTTGGTAAAAAATAAAAATATTTTGTGGCAACACTGGACGTGACGCTCTCTGCATAACTTTAAATATGTTGTCTGAGTGAGCATTTGTTCAGGTGGGCTTGTCGGCCGACAGACTGGTCCTCAGACAAATGTTTGGCGTCACGCAAGGCAATCGACTCCCCAAATGCAACAGATTAGAGCTGTGTGTGTGGCCATACGTGAGAGTTTAAAGGCTTCGCCCACATATACTGCGTGTTTATGCCAAGCACGCATACACTTAAATGTCTTTATGGAAAATATATTTATTTTTTTACATACATATACGTATGCATTTGTATTTATGTACGTATGTATCAGCCACACGCTCAAGTATTTAATGTCGACGTACCCCTACCTTCACCGATTTTGCGTAATTTTGTTGTGGCGACTTCTGATTTTCCACGCCAGCTCCTCTGTATATGCGGTCGATCAGCAGCAACTCAATCATTTAATTTACAACACCACAGTAATAACATTATACCCTGCTGTGTGCTTGAAAATACAAATGTACATATATACCTAATTATGTGTTCTAATGCATCCTAGTGGGAAAATTTAATGTTTGGTAGTTTACAAAGTAATGTATCGCCCTTATAGCCGATAAGTTAGTTAGTTAGTTAATTTTTTGGGTGTAACAGAACAAGAGACCCCTCGATTTGAAAGATCTTTTGTATCTCTTAAAGTGAGAGTCAGATAATATGCACCAAAATTTCATTATCGAGGCAGAGCCGGCATTCCGCCTCTGTGATCACAACTATTCGGTGCAAGTGGAATCGTAATTGCTTGTGACCGGTCATGCACCCAGAAAGTAGCCTGATTTCATTTCTATTTACTAAAATAATGTCGTTTCTATTGAAAGGGTAGCTGAAGAGCCTAGTCTGTCTTAGGCCCCCACCGCTCCCCAGTACTCACTTCGTTCCGAGTGTAACCATTCAGTAATCATGGCTCTCGAAGAGGACCAACTGAGACCACAGAATCGTTCAGGTCCCGAAAAGGCAGATAGCAATTCTTCTCGTGCTAACTCGTCGGTGACGTCGTTGCCCAGCACAGGGCTACCATGTTTTTAGCTGCCAAAATTTTTAGCGTTCCAAATCAATCTCTAACCAGCTTGTATTTCATTGTTCAGTTTGATGTCTGCTTGGCTATTTGAAAAGGTAACCAAAAAGGCGCACTTTAAACTCTTTTCAAGGTATAATTTTTCGAAGTTTGAAATTGCGACTATTTCTGCCTGAAACACTATGGACCATTTGTCCATGGGAATTGCAAGTTTGTTGCTAGGTCAAAAAAAAACCTGCTCTATCCTCCATCCTTGAACCGTCTGTGCACTAGTGTACGTTTCTTAGATCAAGTGCAGGGCGCCCATTTTCCCAATCTTCGCGATCGGGGATAATTACTTGGAACTTTCTGCCAAAGCAGACCTCTTTAGTCATGAAATCAGTGATTCTCTGGTATCGTTCAAAGAATACCTGCATGAAGCTTCTTTGTGCAGAAGCCGTCATTAGATAGTCGAAGTTGCAGCTCCGTCATGACTGCTGTTTCCTGGATAAAAGTATGGTGAGGAGTCTATTCCAGGAGCGATTCTAGAGCCGCAGTTGAACACGTGCCTATAGATTCAGTGACGGATAGACATACCAATTCAAACGATTGGTTAAGGCGAAGTATGACAGCTTTTTGGAGCTTCTTCTGCCGCGATCCGTAACGGATCTATCAGCCTTGAGCTGAAGCCACATGGCCCTTGTTGCTTAAGAAAGTGTTCTCTCAAGATGGGAGTTCCAATTAAATCTCTTCTCTAGCGTAATACCCAGATATTTGACCTCATCGTAGCATTGAAGCATTGTGCCTCCAAGAGTGGGCAAACCAATATTTGGTTTATATTTGTTTTAAACGGCACAACGGGAACAACGTTCCGAGAATTTATGCTGAGACCCACATTGGAGACCACGCGAAGTGCTGCACATGTAACTTCAGAGACAGTTCTGCCGAATTTTCCCGTAACTAGAATTGCCAGGTCATCTGCATATCCCACAATATCCTAACCTCACTCATGTAGTCTGTTTACATGGTAGTCCACTAAAACTGAGCAACGCAAGTGAAAAAGGACGTTTCCCTGTGGGCAGCATCTCACGGCTTTGATCTTTCCTTGAGTATTACCCAAGAAGGATGTAATTTCAAGCTCACGAAGCATAGCGTCGATCCAACCAACAACCTCTTTGGACCAATACCCCTGAAATATATCCATAGGCAGTATTGTCGAAAGCACCGTCGATGTCCATGAAGGTACACAGAGCGGGCTCCATGGCCTCGAAGGCATTTTCGATCCTATTAATCAGATACTGTAGCTCCGAATCCGTTGAAAAAAGCAAATTTTATGTGGTGTAAGGGAGTGCAAGTGTTAAGTTTTTCCTTAATATGGAGATCTAACAGTCTCTCTAAAGTTTTAGGAGTGAAGGAAGTTAGGCTAATAGGTCTGTATGATTTAACTAAGTGAATGGGCCTGTTGTCCGATTTCGGAATAAAAAACAGGGACACCTTCCTCCAAGCATACGGTATGTATTATAAGCAATAACTAGCCCTAAATGTACAGATCTGGAGATCAATTATATCTTCAATACTTCTGTGCAGTAGTGCTGGAAAAATCCCATCACCACCCGCTGCTTTGAAGGGTTCGAAAGGAGACGGGGGTTATCAGATCATGCTCCAGCAGGGAGCCTGGAAACAGCTAGCCGATACATTACAAAATTCATGACGATATGTTGCAAGATTCATAATTTTTTGTACGGGCATATCCTAGGAAAGTAAAAACAGAAGAAGAAAAGCGCTCGAGCCACAGAACCTGCGGCCAAAAATTTGGTAGTTCAACATACATATCTATGTAAATTCATTCGGCTACAGCAGTTGCTGAGATAATGTGGAAAAAAGACATATTGCTCGTTTACTAGAATAGTGCCATAATTAAAAAATAAAAATTTTGAGTTGAGTTAACAGAGAGTAACTTGCCCTCTCTCTCTCAGTCAAAAGTTGCAGGTTTTAGTCCGAGTTTTTCTTCCTGCAAGTTCATGAAAAGTGTCAAACGATAGGCAGGGTTGCATTTGTAAACAAAAACAAAACGCGGTGAAAGCAGAGAATCTTGCATGTGTTAAAAAATGGAAGTAGTTACAGGAAAAGTGATTTTTCGCGTTCCAGGTGACTTTTACTGTTTCGCTCTCGCTCCTCTCATTCAAGAGAGTAATCTTGTTATTTGACAGTTTCACAGGTTTTTACAAGAAGTTATCTGGAACGCAACTTATAAATATTTACTATGGAAGTAGGTATATGTAAATTCAAAACTTAAAAGCCCTTTTTCTCTTGTTCTACTTTTTTGAGTTATGACAATATTGAAGTAAATGAGCGATATGTATGTATGTGCTTAAATTTATTCTCAAACTTTTTGGTTTTCTTGTGGTTTCAAAATTCAAATGTAGTTCTTTGTAATTTGCCACTGGGGTACAATATATGCATATATATATATATCACACATAAATAAATGCAATCGATTGTTATCGTTGCAGACACGTGATGCACGCGCACATGACATGCACCAGCACCAGCACAACATAATCAACAACAACACCAGACGCAAAACCAAGAGCACCGAGGACATGAACGTTGACACCAGCACCCTGAAACGCATGCTAAAGCCCATGCCCAGTACTGAGAGTCCCGTTACTTCGCCGGAGATGGGACGGCGCCGTTATAATTACTACAATGCTAATGTGGCCAATACTCTTGGGCCGCAACATATGCATCAGCATGGAGGCGGCTTGGGCATGGGAATGGGCATGGGCGGTGGCGGTGGACCTGGTGGTATGCACCACATTATGAACAACAACAATACCATGGGACGTGTGAGCGGTCAGTCGTCGAGATTCTCTGGATCTAGGTAAGTGTGTGTGCGTTTGTACGTGAGCGAAACAAATAAATATTTAGCATTGAATTGGAAAAAGAAACCGAATAAATACTGTAGAAAGGCAATATAAAATTACTACAGCAATAAGCATTGCTTTCAACTCAGTGTGCCACACAACTAAATGACCGGGCCAAGACCAAAGCAAATCTAAAAGTCTAACTGCCAAAGCAACCGACAGAGCAACCACCGCGACGCGGTTGAGTTGTTTTGCATCGCCGTTTAAGCCAGTCCGCGCCAATAAATTTCCGCCAGCATTTTTAGTGTAAATTGGCAAATTAAGAAAGAGTGTTGGGGTAGCATGAGGCAACAAGTGTGGCGGGCGTGTTTTGTCGAGGTGCGAATAGCGGTGAATTTAAGCTAAAAATTAGCATTGTGAAAATTGTGCAGATATCTTATTTGTTTGTTGTGATGCAAAAAAAAAAAAAACAAATAATAATTGCATTTGGTTGCCTTCTGTGCAACTGCTGGGAGTAGGAAAAGAGGGCGTTAATTTTCGGAAAACTGTACCAATTGTGTCTAATGAATAGAATGAAGGAAACGCTTAGTTCGAAATGGGAATTCCAAATGCAATATGTTTCCTCTAACTCTGGAACTAAATTGCTGTTAAAGTTATAAAATGTACCTACCTTTGTATGTCGGTCGCTAAAATAAAATAAGTAAAAAGTAAACCGTAAAACCTCTTCAGATTTCATCAAACCGCTTTGGCGCCATGTTTTTTTTGCATTTTAAACCAAGCCAATGACAACACGAAAACATCTTGCAACTGTAAAAATAAAATGTATTTAGTACAGCCATTTTAGAACGCTCAAGATACCTCTCAGAGAAAAGTTACACCAAACGAAATTATATGAGCTGCTTATTCATATACTAAAATACATACATATATTCTTACCGGGTTCATAGAATATTCATAAAAGTGTGTTTGTGTTTTGAATGTTTCATACCATTGTGAAAACATTTTTGTGAAATCGTGAAGATTAAGGGCAAAAATGCCTTCTACAATTAAAAACAATTAAAAAAAATAGTGGCACTGTGCTACTATGATAAATGGCCGGGATATCATAGTCAATTTATGTACAGTAGACTGCATCGCTCCCCATACAAAAAACAAACGGTACTATTTTTCAACTGGAATTATAAAATCTATTATATTTAAAGACTTCCACCAAAACATCTCGCAAAAATATTAAGATTTACGTGAGCTGGACCGATAAGAAAATACCTCCTAAATTTGAGATTGTTATTAAACCACTTTTTTAATATTTTTTTTTTTTTTTAAATTACCTCAGATGACTGAACAGTTTAAGCTTAAAAAGTTTGCATACAAATATTTAAACAAAATTTCTACGGAATAAAAATAATGAGATTTTTGATGCTGTTTTTGCACTTTTTTCAAAGACTGGTTTAAGAAAAACTTGAATAACTCAGCTAAAACCTTACGAATTTAGACTTATGAGGTATCATTGGTAAGGTATTTATTTTCTCACCCTTTTACCTTTTTTGAGAATAAGTTCATCCAATGTGTGAAAGAGGAAGGTAAGATAAACGAGTGTCATTCCATTTTGAGATAAGATGTGTTGATATTGGGTAAAGAAAAAATTGGGACGTGATGAGTTTTTTTGCAAAGAAATACAAAGGGTGAGAAAATACCTTTCCACTGATACCTTATAAGTCTATATCGGTAAAGTTTTGAAGCAGTTATTCAAGTTTTTCTTACACAAATCTATTGAAAAAAGTTAAAAAACAGCATCCAAAATCTCATTATTATGATTCCGTTGATATAATTTTTTAATATTATTATGTAGATTAAGCTTAAACTGTTTTGAAATCTGGGGGGATTTTTTCCAAAAAATCCTTTAAGAAACTATTTTTATTCATAAAAAAAGTCCATTTTTAAAAGGTTTTTTTCAAACCGGTCAAGCTCACGTAAATCTTAATATTTTTCAGAACTATTTTGGTATAAATCTTAAAATATACTAGGTTTCATAATCCCGCCGGAAAAACCGCAACTTTATTTGGTGATGCAGTCTAATGTACAGTAGTCGAAAAAATTATAGCCGCACCAAATTTTCACAAGTTTTAAAATATTATTTTTTTTTGTTATTTAGTTTTGGTTAGTTTTTTATAGTTCATTCTTTAACAACATCCATATAAATACAAGTTTAAAGGCAGTGTCACACGATTGGGTATTTGCCAAAATTTGGTGCAAATCATATACCAAATATTTTTCTTTATCCCATTCACGAAAATTAATTTGTTGAAATTTTTCAGTAGAACATCGCTGTGTTTTACCAATCTTGTGACCACAAAAAAAAAAAAATTTCCCTTTTTTTTTTTATTTTGTACCAATAGTTAATATAAAAATGTACCAATCTGTACAAATGTACACCCAGAAAAAAGTCAGCTAAATATATTTCTCTCAAAACATGATTTGGTAAATATAACCAAATAATGTAACTATAACCAAATCATGTGTTGAGGAAAACATATTTAGTTGACGTAACTAAACTCTTTTCTCAGTGTGCCAATCGATAATCGAGTGCCACTGCCTTAAAAATGTATGTAATTAAAAAAAAAATTCAACAAATTCTCGTAAAGATTTCGAGTTTTTTAATTATATTCAGAGTATGCAGTTTTGTAGCCCATATTCTAGTAGAATAAAGTATAAATTTCAAATAGCTAAAAACTACGATTTATTTTTTAGAATTTTTAAAAAAGCTTGAAATTTGCACGAAAGTTTGTTGAATCTTTTTTTAATATTGCACAAATTTGGAAACTTGGTTTTACTCGGGTTTTGTTAAAGAACGAACTATATTTTTATAAAAAAAATAACCAGAATTAAATAACAACGAAAATGATACGTTAAAACTTGGCATAAAGTGGTTCGGCCATATTTTTTTGATCACTGTATGTATTTTTTAATATCTTTAATTGGACCTACGTTTCTACATTTTATACAATAATTAACCACAGTGAAACAATCGCATTCTTTGCATTAAAATTTAAAATATGCTTACTATTTCTAGTAAAAGTTTTTATTCATATATAAACTGCAATGCTTTCCATAAAATGAATGGTGTTTAGTAAGGGTTACATTATCTTAAAAGTTTAGGAAGTTCTATCTTAAACTTGTTTTATATGACAAAACTCTTTCTACTAATCTTGTAAAAATGTATTCTATTGTTTTTGAAAGCAAATACTATACAAAAATAATTGTTGTCTTAAATTTTTGTATGAAAAAGTATTAAAAGATATATAATCTTGTAAAAATGCATATTTTTTGTGAACAAAAAATACGATAAATTTGGAAAATATGCGAAATCGTATTTCTATATATAGTAGCGTAAGTGCGCATCCAATCAAAAACTCACTAGGGCAAAAGAGAAGGCACGCCCCTGTTGCTCACTTTCACTACAATTCTAACGAGATATATCTCCTTATTAACTACGTTCTTTGGTTCTATGTACAAGTACTCGACACCTTTCCGATATTGAGTAGGTTTCGATACCTTGTTTGATACAAGTACAAGTGCTAATCTGAGTAATACCTTGACGGTATCGATTTATCCCTAAGTCCACCTTCAACAAACTGCTTGTGCCTTATCAGTAATCCACCATAGAACAGTTATTCACAGTTCGCAAATATTAGGAAAGACTCGCGAGGATAATATCGACAATCACCATCTATCTAAGATGTTGACAAAAAATGGTCATCCTTCACACAGATTGTTTTTAGAGCATAATGAACCATGTTTTTGCTATTACAAATCAAAATTCTAAAAAGGCGGATTTTTGGCCCACGCTAACTTCGGCCCAAGATAACTATTTTTTCGCGTGATATTTTATTTATAAGATTTCTACTAAAGGTAAATAACACGTTGGTACTAATTCATAACTTTTTATGCATTTTTTCTACTTTATTTTTTGGCTCAACTAGATCATCTCATGAAATTGGTCGTGGATATCCACAACGAAATCTGTACTTGGAATTGGAACGCGAACGCAGCTGCATTGAGGGCTCGCCACCCTCCGACAACGTCATGTTTGACAATCAGTGCTATGCCACGACGCCCAGCTCTAGCAACGGCAACTCCGACCAGGATCAATCGTATGGTCAACGTAACGCCGGTGGAGGTCGCCATCAACATCATCATCAAGCACCAAATGTCACCCCCACCCCAGGCAGTCCAACATCACGTCTACTACTCGAATATGAAATGCATTTGAGAAACACCTTGGCCAAGGGCATGGACGCTGAATCCTACAGTTTGCATACATTTGAAGCTTTGCTCTCACAAAGCATGGAGAATTTGGGTATGCCAATAAGTGAATCACTACAAAAGCGAAGATTTATTTTTCCTATTCGATGTTGTTGTGTTGTTTTCCTTTTTTTTATAGTTTCTGACATTCTTGTCTTGCTAGTGATAGTTGTAGCATTTTTTAAAATTATTTTTCTATTGCTTTATTTACATAAATAATTTACCTATCTTCGCTATACATACGTAGTGTAAAATCAATTTTAGCCGAAAGTGAATAACCATGCGCATACATATACACTCAGAAAAAAGCCAGCCAAATATATTCCTCTCAACACATGATTTGGTAACTATAAACAAATAATGTAACTATAACCAAATCATGTATTGATAAAAACATATTTAGTTGACGTAACTAAACTCTTTTCTCAGTGTACCCGTATACGTATGAGGGTGTATAGAAATCTATGTAGAACCCCGTAAATCCATCACACATACAAATTTACAACCCTCCGATCAACTTTCATAGCTTCTTTCATACCTGTGCTTACTTACGTAGTTGCATACCGTTACATGCTACATACATACATAGCTATTCAAATGAAAGTAGTTCGAATGTCAAACCCTAATGTGGGGAATGCTCTAACTCTTTAATTGGATAAAAGTAGGGTTAATTGAAATCGACAAAAGTAGCAAACCTAAATATGCTAGACTGATTCGTACATACATATGTAGTATGTACACATGTGACTCTGAGTGACAGAAATGGTAGATTTATTTGTTTAATTTGAAATCACTGAATATACAAGACAGTCACTTCGCATAGTACACTGAGAAAAGAGTTTAATTACGCCAACTAAATATATTTCTAGAAACCCATGATTTGGCTACAGTTACTTTTTTCGCAATATAGAAATACATACATAGATGAGACCAGGGGGCCAATTCTTGTTCTGTGAAAACGTAAAGTGAAATCATTTTTCATCACTTCACATAAAATTACGATTCTGTTTTAAAATGTAAATAAATTAATTTGTCAAAAAATTTTCAATGTGAAAACTTTTTTTACAAAGTTTTAAGGCCATGAAAAAGAAAATTTGGGCATTTTTCTTTAAACCATCATCTTGTGATAAAGAATATCACTGTGTTCTACTCACATTAATTTACCAAATAATTACTTGCTAGATGTTAACGAAAAGATAAAGTGAAAAAAATTAAATTTTCACTAACATTGAATTTTTCATTTTCACTTCACACTTTCATAGCCTAGAATAGGTCCCCAGTTTTCATACTTAAAATTTATTATTTCGTATATGGACGGCTGAATGGAAGATCGATCCATATCGGCAGGCGGTTCGAAAACGCTCTATCTAAACAGATATTTCAAGAACACCCTATTTCAGAATTTTATTGAAGAACTCCCTATCTCAGAATTTGGTTCAAGAACGCCCTATCTCAATATAAATTAAATATATCGGCAGCTGAGATAAGGCGTTCTTCAATCAAATTGTGATGTAGGGCATTCTTGAGCCATTTTTTGTGATAGGGCGTTTTCGAATCGGCTACCGGGATATGATCTTTGACGGAAAAAATATTTACGTACATATTGTGGCACATACAAAAATTATGATGTTAAAGTTTTAATTTTACAGGAAGTTTGCTTAAGTTTTTAAAAGAGAGTAATATCCGGAAATATGGGAAAATTGGGTTAATACCCGGGTATTTACCAAAAAGGGTGGTTAGATTTAAAGTTTGTCATAGAAAATTTAGTGAAAAAATACATTGTTTTGCAAAAATTAATGAATTTTTTTATATACAAATGCATACAGGGCAGTTGAAAAATACTACGACAAAAACTATATTAAGTAGGCATACTTATTTTTGCAGCATTACATAATATTATACGAACGAAATCAATATTTAGTCACTGTCGCTGAAGTTGTCATAGTCAGTTTCACTCCGAATATAATTGAAAGCAGAGTGAGGTATAGAATGCGTATTACCAGTGGAAGATGCTTCCTCAAATTAATTAGCGGAATTGATGATTTTATCCTCAGCTAGGGATGCCAGATTCGACTTTTCTCTCTGAGATTCATGGGTCTTCGATCGAATCTCGGAGCTAAGGATTAGTCAAAAAATTCTCTAGGTTTAGGCAAAATTCTCAAATGTGTTTATTAAGTCACGTTTATGCATTTAGCCCAGAAAAGTAAACTACATGTTAGTCAGTGGCGGACCAACACCCAATACACCCAGATTCGTAATACTGGGACCCAGCTAAAATCATTGTGCTCACCCTTAAACAATCACTCCGTCCTTAGGATATTTATAAAATTAAGCACTTTGGTGGATTTTATGTTCCATATTAGCCGTGTTTTATTTGTCCAGAAATTTAAGCTATTAGCTTATTTTGTATGGAGGACTTACCCAACATAATTATATTGACTTATGAAAAGCTATCTTGGCTTGTATATTGAACAAGGGGCATTGCCATTCAGCATCAGAAATTTTCTTCTTCAGCCAATCAGAAAGAGGCAAAAACTCACATTGACACTATTTGCAGTCAAACAACTGTCAAAATTAGGCTAACATAGGAAATAAGCTAATTTCGTTTTATTTGACCAAGATTTAGCTATTTGCTCGTGATGGTTGAATAAAACATGCCTACTGTAGACGAAGACAGTAAACGTTATCCAAAGTCTTTGAACATAAGATCTATAGAGACTTATAATAGTACATATGACCGTCCGTCTCCACAGTGAGTCCCATCTAACCAACAAAAGTGTCGCGATAAGAGAAAAAAGCGACGCCGCTATTGTGGTTTTTCGCGTCATTTCTTTCTCCTATTTTCCTTACTATCGGTATCGATTTGGAGCGAACACCCCTATTGGAGACTTTTTTCCCAATTTGTTTAATAGCACATCAGCGACAATCAGCTGCTTTGCTCTTCAAGCTAAGCTTTTACTGACGCAAGTAGTTGCCGGTAGAGTTCGCTCTTATCGGTTGGAATGCAGGAAATTAGGGTGGAATGAAGGGAAAAACTAAAGAATACTTTGTTGCGGCCAGTACGCGAACTGTATTGCTATCGTAGCCGATTACCTACGATTTCCGAAAATAAACCGAAATTTACTCCCCAACTCCGTTTTAACCAAGACCTACTTTACATATGACCTCCAAAGCAATGGTGAATCTGGATTTATACAAATAATAAAATACATACATATGTCAATTTACATACATACATACCGTTTATGTGTATGAAAAATCCGCTACCGAATTATTTTTGCTCTGCAATTTCATTCGTCGTTTACTCCGATCACGATCACGCAATTTTGCCAGCCATGCCAGCGATTTTAGACCTCTTTCCTTATTCTTATTTCCTTAGGAAAGAAGAGCGCAGTGCCAGTGGGTTATTGTCGAAAATGGCGAAAAGTTGTAATAATTATTCAAGATGAGGGTTTTTATATATACTTAAGATAAAAATCGATCATGTAAACTTAAAAGTGGAAGCCTAATTTAAGCTGACTATTTTCTTAAGTATGTTAACAACCTGAAATGACAATTTTCGAAACTTTTATGGACAACATTCTAAAAAAAAAACAGCAGAGGAAAACTACTATCCTTCGACTTTATTTTTGATTTTACAATTAGAATTATGTATCTTTGAATTCTACAGAACTCATTATTCCTTTACCGCACGATCGATTTAAATAATTTCTATTTAACAATCTAAATGTTTATCTGTATGTATAACTACTCAGCGAAACGCTCATATCGCATTTCTCATTATCTCATTATATTTCCACGCACCATCCCAAAAAACAACATCAAAAAATAAAATGAACAATGAAAAAATAAAAACAAAACTTTAAAGAACTCGCTGAAAGCCTGCCTGGATCAACACAGCGCAGTCCATATCCAATGCGTAGGCGTAAGTAGTGCTCGTACATAGCTACATACATACATAATTAGGAACATACAACACAAAAAAACATTTATAAAATATGCAATAGTTGCAGCAAAAATTTAATTAAAATCGTGAAATTTTTTTGTATATGTATAAATTAAGTCAAGTTTGAAAATCCATATGTAACTTCACGGCAGTACATAATTTACAAAAACAAAGCTAAAGTCATATTTATTATCTTCCAAAGTATATTCAAAACTCATGTATTTACACAACACAAATTTCAGTTATGAATTGCTTTTTTTTAATAGTAAAAGATATTCAAATGCTTTTTAGTGCTTCATAAAAATACTTTGTAGAATAACCCTAAAGCAACTGTATCCCATACATAGATACATTTCTCTTTTTGGAATGGTCCATTTTGTAACGATTAAAATAATTACCGTTAGTTTATTTGGCAATGCACATAATTTTTACGAATTACTTAATAAAAATATTCCATAAACAAAGTTAGTACACTCAACAATTATGTATACCTCACACATTGGTGAATTGATTAATGAACTCGCCGCATTTTCGATTTTTCTGTCACAATTATAGCAAGCGCCAAATCCTCTACTCTCCCATTGCCACCGCATCGTCCATTGTCTACGTTGCGCGACAAAGAACGCGATCGTGAGCGCGACGGCTATTATAGTGATCGCAATGAGCTTATACGCGAAAGAGAGCGCGAGAGAGAACGAGATCGCGGCTACCTCTCTGATCATAACACAAGGTAACTGAAATCTGAAGTAAAAGTAATACATTTTTTAAACATTTTTCTCTAATTTCTTTATTAGCTTTTCAACATCTCGTTGCGCCTCTTGCATTGGCGAATCGGCTCGCGCTCAATGGTTTCGCCACTCGGATGGCTGGCGCTCTGGCAGTTCGACTATTGGTTCTGGCTCTGGTCAGGGTTTAATGTCACAACAAACTACGGGCTCGGGTCATAAACGTTCACCATGGGACTCTTTGCCCTCTTTGCGACAGGACAGTAGTCTGAATGATTCTGGATATAAGAGTGCACGTGCTGATTCGCTTGAACAGCGGTGAGTAGAAAAGGAAATTGCAGAGATTTTGAAACATTTTAAGCTTGAAAGGGAATATTTGTATTTTGCAAACAGCAACTTTATTTTATGAGGCTTGAATAGGACACGAAGTACAAAGAAATAGTCGAGCTTAAAAAAGTGCCAAAATTAATCTATTCGAAATTGTGAGTTGTTTAACATCAGTTTGCAATACTTTGCCTCTTCCGCCTGAGTGGTGTTGACATTTTTATTATTCGTTTGGTAATTAAATATTTTTATACCTTACTTGCTGTCTGAATTAGCGATTGTTAATCTGCTGTGATAGATTTCCGGCGATGAATCGCTTGTGGATGACGCTGCATCTATTACGGCCGTGTCACACGATTGATACATTTGTAAATTTTTTATGCTGGGTTGGTTAGAGTTCTTATTAAAAATCGACTACCCGGCTTTTCAGTTAGTCGACTAGTCGATTACAGTATATTTTGCTTTGCTGTCTTTGTGCTTAAGTGCACATTTAAGATACCTACGCCGAAATGCGCATCAGCGGCATTGTTTTTAACAGTTATAAGGAAATTGCTCCGATAGATGCATTCAACGTACCCGCACATTAGCAATACCTGCCTTAAAAATTTGCAAATATTACCAATTATCAAAGAAAGTAATACGTTTACCTGCACTGGCTCTACACTTACCTTAGTTTTACAAGCTTTTATTTATTTTGCTCATCTCGCAGAACAATGAAAATTGCTATCATTTTATATAGTTATATAGATAATTAGATACCATTCGGAAAAAATTTCACCTTCAGTATTTTCTACGTGGTAAGTGCTCCTCCATTATTTGGTTTCATAGGGACTCGGATACCTTCCTCATTAAAGTAGTAAAGAAAATTCGCTTAAATGCTTTTTTCGGTTAAGCGCACAAGTTTTTCGTGCAAAGAAGGATGGGCAGCTAAGCCAAATATACTGTAGCTACTTTTTTTTCATCGATTATCGATTATTCGATCAACCGCTTGAATTCAACTAACCGTTCACTTTCGACTAACTCACTATCGAGTGAGTAGTCACTAAATCGACTACTCGAAATTATTAGAATAATGACAGTTTTTCACCAAAAAATAATTGCTAATAGCTATATTAGTTGGGTTTTGTTAGTGAGCGTAAGTATTAAAAAAAAATGTATATTTACTGGAAGAAAACAACTAAGTAGTCGAAAAATCGAAAATGAACGGATAGTCGACTATTTAGTTGTATGTGAGCGGTTAGTTGAAAAAGTCGTAAGGCAACGGTTAGTCGATTAAGTAATTTCGATTATTGTTGGAAACAACTGTTTTTTTTATGTGCCACGATTGGTACCATACATCCGACCTTTATTGGAAATTTTGTAAAAAAATTGTTTGTCTTGATTGGGATAAAGAAATTTATTTACGCATTCACACGATTGGGATAGGATTAGCAGCAATCGTGTGACACTGCCAAAGTTTGGTAAGCTAACTTTGCGAACACAGTAGTTTTCGTCATGTGGAATACACTAGGAAGAGCTTTTTGAAATAAAATCTTCTGCGATGAAACTGACAGAACTCCTGCGATGGCAGTCGCTCATGGAGACAATCTGTGTGTATGATTTTCTAGTTCCATATTGATGACTCCAATTACCACTAAAATGGAGAATCGGTACTCCTGAATATAAGACAGAATGCGTACTTGCCCACTTAAATTATTTCTCATTTGAATAACCAACTTGTCCATGAACAGGCACTAATTAAAGTTAACCCTTTATCAGTTATTTTAATTTTTTTTTTTATAAAACTCTCTTTTTTCAGCGCTGAATTCATACGTCAAGATAGCTTACGCTCAGATTATTTAAGTGATCGAGACTCTCGCTATGGCATCGTACAACAGGCTTCCATTGACAGCACTGATTCGCGGATGTGCTATTTAACATCGTCAGAGGTGAGTACTAATTTGATTTATACTAATGCATACAAAAACAAAAGTATAACCTGAGTAAGTCTTGACTAGGTCTACACATGTACATATGTACATTAGGTATGCTAGAATATGAGGAAAATTGTGATCCCGAGATTTCGGGATATTCTTTAAGTAATCCCGAGATCTTGGAATTATAAAACTCACATATCGCTAGCTTAGAGTGAAAAGTTGCTAACTTAACTTTTTATGAAAAATCATATTTAGATACAGGAGGCTAGATAAATTAAAAATGCATCGTTTCGGAAAGGGTAAAGGTGCTTGTTTTATATTTTCTCCTTATATTCAATGAAAGGAAAATTTGCTAAGTCCAAAAAAAAGCTCCGAAAATTCTATAAGGCCAAAATAGTTGGAAATTTTTTAATAAATATCGAATCCCTCTGATTCGTATGGAGTTTTTCTTTGCTTTAAACAGGCAAAATGATGTATAAAAAGTTTTGCTGAATACTTGAGAAAAAACAAATGGCTAGTAGAAATGTTTTCCTCTCCTGTACAATCTTTAAACTGGTACTTCGCAAACTTTGCACTCTACGCTAGCGATATTTATTAAATCAAACAAATTTTAAAGTAAAACATTTTTTAAATTATATTTAAGAAACCATGTGATTGAGGAACGTACATATCACAAATAACAATGTAACTACGAGGTACTTTTGACAGTACTGATTACTACAAAAAAAAAACATGAAACAAAAATATACAAAAAAGAAATGTTGAGGGTGTTAGAGTCAAACGGATCTCAGAATCGGATTAAGCGGGTCGAAATACATGCTGGTAGGTGGGTCTTTTTTATGCCGGTGTTGTTATTATTGCACTTAAAATGTTTTCGTAAGAGCAGCAGAGCATTCAAAGCGGAGTCCCTTCACCTTGACCTGAAGGTTTTATATACAAAACCTACTGATGAAAAACATATTTCGGCCTCAACACTTTTAGGCTGAACTGTCAAAAGGTAGTCACAAGCCATTTGAAGATAATGACCCCTATCTCTGCCAATACAAAATAAATGAACTTCTTCTACCAGCACGTCCGAAAAATTATAAGTTTTTCGATTTGAGGAAGTTTTGAGTAGATTTGTGTAAAAAATTGTCTAACTTTTCCTTAAAACTCTCTGCTTCGTTTACATTAGCGATGCTGTGAGTAAATTCATTTAAGTCTTCTCAAAAAAGGCTCAGACTGCAATTTAAAAGTACAGTTTCAAGCTTTTTTGTTAATTGCAGCCAAACCGGCATTTTACAAACATCATTCTTCAAAATTCAGACACAAGTTCGTACTATCAATTTGATATTTATTTTCGGGACCTCAAAAATCCCGCGATTGACATCCCTAATGAACATATACATATTTAAAAGTTAAATGTTAGAAATATTTTGAGGTTCGACTTTAGTCGTGACTAACTTTAGGAGGAATGAATTTCTTGAAAAATCATTGACATTTTTTTACAGCACTAAGTTTCCTTCAAAAATGTATATCGTTCATTCTGATACGTTGTCTTAAAAAGGACTTCTAACATTTTTTTTCCTGTGTTATTTTATATTAAGCGCTGCGTTTTTGACAGGCCTAATTTTTATGCAAAAAACGCAACCGACTTCAAGTCTCATATACAAATTTAGGAATACCGATCATGATTGCTTTATGATCTACTGATCGGATCTAACCCAAATTAGTATGGAACCATCTCGGAGACACTACCTATCCGATGGAATTATTGAAATCGGTTGACGTGGTCCAAAGTTCTGCGGAACGTACATAAAAAAAAATTACAAAAAAAAAATATTTCGACGAATTGATAACCCTCCATTTTTGAAATCGGTTAAAAAACAAAACCGACTTCAATTATCGCATAAAAATTTAAAATTATCGTTAATTTCTTCACGATCCAATAATCGGATTTAAAGCGAATTATTATGGGACCACCTGGAGGTACTTAACAACTTTCCATTAAGAATGGAATTATCGAAATGGGTTGACGTGGTCAAAGGTTCTAAGGTAACATACATTAAAAAAATAAAATAAAAATAAAAAAAAGACAATTAAAGAAGTATAAGTTCGGGTAAAACGGAGCTTTATATACCCGGCGCAGGTATAAACAATCGTCGTTTAAATTTTCTCTAAACTACCTTTACATGATAAGCTGGGGTTATTTTCCAGATTTCAAACATTTTCGATAATATCCTGAGTTAGACTTAATGTTGTTATTGCAGTCTAAAGTGGGCGGTGCCACCTCCAATTCTTAATTTCTATAGCAGTCTTATTTATTGTTCAGAGGATGTTGTAACTATTAACTTGGAGTTAATTAGCGTTCGCAATTGTTGAAATATCGGTGTTTTCATTTTTCTGAAATTTACCGTTATACGGGACGCGGGGGTCGTAATTTTAGTTCGACTTAAATAATTTTCAACAAATTGCTTTTCCGTACCAAGGTTATTAAGTGCTCCAAGTTTGGTAGAAATTGACAAAGTGGCTACCGAGATACACATGTGTGGTCATAGGTGGGGCGGCGCTACGCCCATTTTCCAAAAAAGTTCATATTAATATTATTTTTTACCAAAATTCTACTCCACATACTACTTTGCAACAATTGGGATGCAAAAATTACTAAAATATTGTAGTTCTTTCATTTTTCGAAACTACCATTATATGGAAAGTGGGCGTGGTTACAGTCCGATTTCGCCCATATTCAATACCATATAAAATTTCGTTGAGATATCTCAATTTTTGTTACAGTTATCGTGTACACGGACACACAGACGGACGGACAGACAAACATGGCTTAATCGAATTCCCTATTCATTCTGAGCAATTATGTATACATACATTTGTCTATATCTATCTCGGTTCGATTTGGCTGTTACAAACAACCGTTATGCGAACAAAGTTATTATACCCTTGTGCACAAGGGCGCTCGGGTATAAAAATATGCCGACGAATTGATAACCTTCTCCTTTTTGTGAAGTCGGTTAAAAAGGAGATTTTTTTCCCAGTATAATGTGCATATGTATATGACCAAATCTCACGAGTTACATTTTTCGACAAAGCATTATCTCCAGTTTTGCATAAGGAAGGAGATTCCGTCGTATATGTAACGTATACGCCCCGTTGCATCATACACACCAGCTAACACGTTTACTTGCAAGCCTTAACTGAAAAGTAAGGTAAAATTTAATAATTTTAAAGGTAATTAAATATTGGCATGGAATATTTTTCTACAGTATTCTTGACGAATATATATATTTATTAATTTCGATTGGTTTCAACTTTTTTTTATAGGTTCAATACATGAAATAACACGTGTTCGAAGAACTTTTCTCTTTCTTTTTTGTTTTTCGTTTTCTTTTTCTTTTCCTTTTTCTTTTCCTTTTCCTTTTCCTTTTCCTTTTCCTTTTCCTTTTTCTTTTTCCTTTTTTCATCGAAGATATGATATGTCAAAGTTTGCATTTTTTCGTGATTCTGACTGATCATGTACTTCTTCAAATCATTATATCTCGGGTTCTGCTCATCGTAGAGACTTCCTCTTAACGTCGTTTTGAAGCTAGCGAAACGGGTCAAGGTTATCATAAGGCTAACTTAGCTATTAACTGAGCTGAACTTTTTGAACTTGATTTGCATAGTGAAGGCCAGTAAATTGGGGATTTAAAATTATAAAATTATACCATGGTATTCCTTGTTTAATTCTCTATAAAAAACATGTTTAAAAAAATTGGGCGTTTTTTAATTTTTTTTTATAATGAGATGCTTTTTTTTGCGAGAGTCAACAAATTTTTGTAATTTGTTTACGAAAATTTAAGATAAGATATATTTAGCAAGGTGTTGAAAATTGAGTTTTTGCAAGAATTTAAATTTTATTGCAGATACCGATAGCATACCTATCCAGATATAAAATTTATATGGCAAGATTTTTCTTTAAGGCGACAAACTCTTAGAAATTGGCGTGGCAATTGCAGAACTAAAGTTAGAAAAACGTAGATTTTACTGCGGATTTCGGCATAATATCGTTTCGTTAGCAACATTTGTTCCATAACTTTTTCAATTAAAGAATATTCTAGAAATGGGCGTGGCTATATTAAAACCAAAGTTCAAAATTTTAGACTTTACTGCGGATTTCGCCAGAACATCTATGTGGATATTTTTTACGTTTGTTTTTGGTTTTCTAATCACAATTAATTCACTAGATTTGGACAATCGCCACATTCGAAACCAAAAACAAAGTACGTGTAAACTTTTTTCTTGTACCGCTTCTTCTTCTTCTTCTATATTGGCGCTATAACCGCCTAAGTGATTGTGGCCGAGTCCAAAAGAGCTCACCAGTCATTTCTTTTCTGTGCTAACTGACGGCAATTGGAAATGCAAAGTGAAGCCAAGTCCTCCGCCTGGTCTTTCCAACGCAGGGGAGACCTTCCTCTTCCTCTGTTACTAGCATCGCCGCCCGCTTTGAATACTTTCAGAGCAAGAGCGTTTCTGCCCATTCGAACGACAACTCCAAGAGCCGCCTCATCAGATGCTTTCATTGTCCATGCCTCCGCGCCATACACTAGCACAGGTATGATGAGTGACTTATAGAGTGTGATCTGTGTACGACGAGAGATGACTTTACTTCTCAATTGCCTACTCAGTCTAAAGAAGCACTTGTTGGCAAGAGTGATTCTGCGTTGGATTTCAACGCTGACATTATTATTGGTGTTAATGCTGATTCCCAAATAAACGAAGTCGAACTCTTATTATCTTCTCCAATACCAGTTTAAAGAAATCACACGAAAAGGAGTCGCCCTGTCTGAAACCCCGTTTGGAAGCAAGCGGCTGGGAGTGGTCTTTCCCAGTTCTGCAGAGCTGGTGGTGGTGGTCATTTTACACAGCCGTATGAGTTTTGAGGGGATGCCAAATGCAGACGTATCGGCGTATAGGCAACTCCTTTTAGCGGTGAGTGTCGATCCTTTTCTCGCCATTTTTGTTCGCCTAAGTCTCTCGTAAAATTTTCGGGCGTATTTCATGTCGAACAACATTTAAAGCTCTTCGCACTCACGTATGTCGGTCTCTCTCTCTTATTATTGCGGCAAATACATCTTCTCTCTTCAGTTCTCCATAGCGGGCCCACATAGCTCGCGTTGCGGCTGATCGCAGCGAGACCCTGTTTGCGGCATCTTTTTTCTCTGCAGTTTTTTAACACTTCTCATCGTACCGAATGTCCTGCGGGCTCGCTGAAATCCGACTACTTCTTCTACGGCGGTATGTAATGAGCCGGAAATGTGATTCCACTGCTCGCATATGGTCGTTTTATCGAAGAGTGCTCTGTGAAAGCAGGTGTGAAAGTCGAACAGCCGTCTGTTGTTTTTGCAGCTGTTCGACGTTTAGCTTTCCTTACATATTTGGGCGCACATTCTTCGATGCACAGAGGCGACTGCGCAAAAATATGCTGGGCTTAGTCGATGTTTGGGCCTCGAAGTGTACGTACGTCCAAACCCCTGGAAGCGTGCCTTCCCTCGAGCACAACATTAAGTTTTCAGACATATTAAACTTAGTTGTCGAATAAGCAGAAACTAAGTGATGCTTGCCATTGCGACCGCTGAATTAGAAAAATACTTTTTTTGTTTTTGTTATAGTAACGCACTACACCACTGCGACGATTATGTACAATTACCTTAACCACATTCTTCATTATGGGAATTAGCTAGCAATTTCTTGAATACAATTCTCTAAAAATTTAAAAAGAGAGCAGTTCAATATAAACATATTTCGTAATATTCAAATACATAGTCACATTTCATTGACATCATCAAACGTTAGACCTTAACAAATATTTTCAATATTTTTTTCAAATAATTGAACTATTTTTCTCGAAAGATATACAAACAAATGCATAGATGGCACAAAATTAAGCAGTGCAAATGTGCTTGTTTTTTCCTCGTTTAAAAGCCATATTATTCTCCGTCAATGAGCCAAAGGTATGGCAATGTCAACATCATTTGAGGCAATGCTTCATTTAGACGGATTTAATGAGCTAATGAATTATGAAGAGTCCAAAATTATTCGTAAACAAAATTAATTATGAATGTAGTGTCAAGCGGCGCAAAATGCTTTTACAGTCGCAGTGGCCTCGACCCGCTGCCGGTCAAGGAATTTTCGCTGTCAAAGGTGTTCTGAAATTTAGTGTGACAAATAAGAAACAAAATTTTGCATTACTAGTAAAAGCTGCTACTCGGCACTCTGCTGGAAAGCTTTTTAATGTCACTGTTGTTTTAATGTTAGATACGATGACTCTGCAAGTCGGTTGGAAGGCACCACATGGGAAGAATATAGTAGTTTCAGTCGTTCGCTCCTTACTTTCGTTATCCTTCGTGCATACAAGAAATCAACAGGCATACAAGCATAGTTAAATTAGTATGTATGCAATCAAGCCTATATACATACTAGGTCCATACTTGTACATATGCACGAATGAGTATTGTTTTGGTGAATGCATTTCGTATCTACGTGTGATTTATTACTTAATTTTTTGTTGTTTTCCCACTACAAAGTAGTGTTTCATTTTGTGTCGAAAAGCTCATTTGTCGGCTTAATAGAGCATAACTTGTTAATTTGTCATATATGATTACAATTAGATATTATGTTACTCATATTTAGGTAATTATGAGCAGTTTCTTGCTTAAGTACTTTCAGGTTTATTTATAAGCATGAGCAAAAATATTTGCGAAGGTAGTACATACATACATATGTATGGTTGTAAGTTTATCAATAGTTTTTTCTCTTCCTTTCAGGATAATATCGTTCGTACAATTCTTGCCGTATTTCTAGTAAATTAAACTAATACAAAACAGAAAGACACTACTCGATTCGGTCACACCAATATTCTAACCAATTACCGATGCACACTTTGGTTCCCGGACCAAGCTACAATGCCTCCTAATTAAAATTAAAATCGCTGAATACACTCAGAAGATCCCTCAGGGAGTCTTTTTTAAAATTGCCAGTGAGCCGAAGTAAAGTGGTGATTCACTCACTCCTTTTCTTATAATAAAGTACTAGGTTGACCGAGCGTTGCCCGGAATGCATATATTTCTTAAAGTTTTCTAGATTTGGATAGCTCTAAAAAAATATTTTGGAAATAAACAAAAAAAATAGGATTTCCATACCTATTAAGTAAATTCCTTACTCTAAAATTTCGGTGGCAACCCTATTCCGAAATACGCTGGAATGAATGTTACATATCTTGAGCGTATGTATACGATTTATGTATATTTACATACAAAAAATGTTGATTGAGATAAAAAAAATAAAAATTTTTATTACAAGGAAGCCTGGCAGCCCTGATGGAAAATATTTTCTGACCAAAGTTCTCAACAATATCCATATTGCGATGTTTTAGCTAAATTGTGTAGAATCGAAAATAAGTGGCAACCTTACCCTATTAAACTAAGACATAATATTTTGTGTATAGGGAAAGCATTGTTTAAGAACCTTCTCTTGGTACCCATGAATAGTAATATTTTACCTTTTTTTATAAACAAAAAATTAAATAAATATGTGATTCAAAATAGGTGGCGACCTTATTAAAAATAATTTTGAATAAGGGATCTTTAAAGTACCTTCCATTTGATACCCATATCATGATGTGTTAATTAATTTATAACTAATTTTGAATAGGTGGCAACCTTATACTAGTCTTCTCGGAGATATTGCCTATTCAGATAACATTAAAATCCAAAACATTATCTGTGTACAAAATTTCATCAAAATCGTTAGAGCCGTTTCCGAGAAACTTATGGATGTATATATATACAATAATTGCTCGTTTAATGTAATAAGATTAATAAAAATAAAAAAATAGATTGCCAGTCCACTGCAACGTTTTTCAAGTAGAGCTAGCAGATGCACACTCCAAGCCTAAAAGATGGGCGCAGGGTCCACTTCTTGAAAGTTAGGAGGTTTGAGCACCTCACTCCCCCTGCCTCTACTAGTCTACGCCCACGGCTTGACCTATTAGTAATGCAATCGGATGAGGAAATAAATTTTCTGTGAATAAATATAATAATGAAATAACTGTTTGTGGCGCTTTTAACATGTGGTTATTCAGTTTACAATACAATGCGTGTTCGTACTTTCTAGTAGAGATGGGCGTCGAGTGTAGAACACATATTCGGTAAGACGCACGACCATGCAGGGGAAAAAAATCAATAAGGCCCGGCCCGGCATGTCTCGACCCGATTAGGCACGGATCGCATGAAAAATTCTTGCTCAGAAAAATAAAGGCACATACTTACCATATACTCGTATGTATGTAATTTAATTTTTCTACATATTTTCAAACGTGGTTTCCTTTGTTCCAGTCATAAGGTTTCACAGTCAAATACTTCTCTAAAAACGATTTTCTGAGTAAAAGATAACAAAAAAATATTATATTAATAAAACAACAGTAAATATACACTTTAGGAGTATATTCGCTTACTAGTTGCAAACGTTACAGTAAAATTCAATATATTCTTATCAATATACGTACCACTTGCCGCCAGCGCACAGTGTTTCGACTATATGGAGGCAGGTGGAAATAACAGTTAACTAAGAAATAGGGAATTATGAAATTTGGTAAAGATGAGGTAATTGCCATGCCCTCCACTCTTGTGGGCGGAAACATTAAATTCCGATCCGATTTCAGTGAAATTCAATTTGTACTCTCTCTTTTATTTAGAAACCCTAAATATAAAATATGGGGAAGATTGGATCATTACAACGTGTACAACTCGCAAAACATATGGGCCCATTCATGAAATGTGATGGAATTTTGATTAATTTTTTCCCCGCTTTCCCCTCTCAGGAAAAAAGGTTATACTGAACAAGTAAAAAAGACTAAGTTGGGGCGGAGCCGAACATTAAATACCCAGCACCTTTCCAAAAACTACCGCGGCATGGTAAGCAAGGGTGGTTTTACGCCAATTTTAAACATCTTCATCTTGATGAGATAAATTTATAAAGTTATATCTGGGCGGAACCACGCCCATTTTCCAAATTCCATAATAATATTACTTCTTTTCAGGGGATTGTTGCTAGTATCATTTTTGTGTAAATTAGCGTCCTTAAATTTCAAAATAATGAGGATTCAAGCATTTCTGAAATTTACCGTTATATGAAAAGTGGTGGTAATTTTAGTTCGATTTCAAAATTTTTCAACGTTTCGCTGTTATTCTCTAAATTGCTACTATATGGGATGTGGGCGTGGTCATTGTCCGATTTTTCAGCCGTTTGGTATGCTTTACTAAGAGCTGTGTCAAGTTTGGGAGGAATCGGTGAAGCGGTTACCAAGTTATACACATTTAAGCATAAATGGACGTGGCTACGCTCATTTTCCAAAAATTTATAATACCCCTATTTTTTGTGTAAAAATCATTGTAAATATCAATTTTGAGTGAATACGCTTCAGCGGCAGTGATCGGATTTAAAAAAATTATTAAAATATATGCCCGTTTTAGTATAATAAAATGCAAGATTGCAGGTGTTAAAAATTGCGTTGAGCTTTGGCACTTTTTTTCTTGACAGTGTTAAGCAATTTTTTCCATATCAATATATTTTTCGAAAAAAAACGAACTGAAAGCAATATATGTCATAGCGGCTAATAACGGATACAAGAGAGATCTGGTAGAGGAAATCCGAAGGGAGAAAACAATGAGACAAATTGGGCGGTATTAACCAATACTGGAAAGTCAACGTACACACTACAACAACAAAGGGCGGATACTACGAAACTCCACAAATAAAGAAGACCCATTGGATAAACAAGGAGTGTATAAACTAATTTGCAAATGCCAGCATAGTTATATAGATCAAACAGGGCGGAAACTAAAAACCAGATTTCGCGAACATATAAGGGACTATAACAAAAAGACATGGAAACCGAGTGCAATACCAGAGTAAAATTTTGCTAACCACATGTTTAACAACAAATGTTCACCAACGCAAATAAGAAAGGCAGCGAAGCTACTGCATGTACAACATAAAGGCCAACGACTAAACGTACTAGAAAATATAGAATTATACAAACTAAAAACCTTCGACGGCAAAATAATAAACGAACAAACAAACACCGCATCGGATGGTATATTCGAACCCTTAAAATTAATTTACGAGAAAAAGAAAAATTACAACAAAACAACAGGCATGGACACTCCAAACACACCATAAAGTACCTTTTACCTGCCTGCGAGCAAAAACTATACAGAGACAACATAACGGATGTTAATATCGAGACAGCGAAGATTTACCTATTACCTGCTTCTAAAATAAAAAAAGGACACCATGGCATTTCTAATAATTAATCATCAACGAAAATCGCATTACCTAAGATAAATGAACATAAATTAAGAACAAAAATTCGAACCAGACAGAACGAAAAAAGACACTGAAGATGGCACAACGCCGAAACCGGTTTGTCTACCAACCAAACTTGACAAGGGGTGACGGAAATTCGCTCCAAAATAAACCATATTTTTCGAAAATTTTTTAAGAGATTTCTGCAACCTTGCGCAGTGCTTGTCAGCTTTTCCTTTTATCATATCACGATGTAGCGAACAAATGTGGCACGTTCCAGAAACCGCTACTTGGGATTTGCCGATTTTGACAATTCTCAAGTAAAAGTAAACAACGCCTTAGAGAGTTTAGATGGACTTAAATTCGCTAACACTTTTACAAAAATTGCATTTTTTTTAACATTTTCGCTATAAATTATTTTTATAAATCATGTATTTTGCAATTTAACACAATAAAACCACGTCTCCTGTCCAAAAATTGATTGTTGAGAAAATTTAATATTTTACTGTTTATTTTATCCTCCTATTCGGCTTTGTTTAGTTTTCATAGCCGCCGGGAATGCGGAATCTTGTATTATATCATTCTGGTTACCATATATAGTTTAGTGTTGGACACTTGTTACTCTTAAAATTAAAAAAATTATGTCGAGCATAAATAAAACTACTGAAAACCGCGAATATGTGGTAGATGTCTGCCCTTCAGTGGTAGATGTGGTAGATGTGGCAGATGCTCAAAAAAGTGGCGCGGTTATTACCCGATTTTGCCTAGTTCGAATACCATCCGTTCTACGCGGAAAAGAAGTACACACACCGAGTTTCGTTAAGATATCTCAATTTTTACTCGAGCTATCGTGTTCACAGACGGACGGACAGAAATTCACACATTAATCGATTCCTTTTATCATTCTGACCATTTATGTATACATTTGTCTATATCTATCTCGATTCGTCTTGGCTGTTACAAACAACCGCTATGTGAAAAAAAGTTGATAGCCATGTGAACAAGTGCGATCGGGTATAAAAAAGCTCAAGAAATGCTCAAGAAAAATTTATTAAGTCAAATTTTGTTAAGCAGTACGGAGCTCTTAGGAAATTTGCTTGGCTTTCACTTTCTAAAGTTTTTTGTGGGCGACGAGCACAAGGCAGCCCATGTTTTCAACAGAAATATATGCCCGTTTCATTATTTCGTGAAGAAAGAGTGGGACAACTGGCTGTGGAATATCAGGGATTAAAACCCCCGGAACACTACTATTCACCCACGAAACAATGATCTGTACTTACTTAGCTTCATACATTAAAATAAGCAAAATTGCATGGTCGCTAAAATTAAGCTTGGATACCCTGAATAAGTAAGTAAAATAAGCAATTCCAAGCAAAAGCTTAAAATTTTCGGCTTTGATGATAACATTCACGTAATGGAGTCGTTTAGAGCATCAATTAGTTTCTGTTGTGCCGCATGTAAGGGACTCTGTAAAGTCCAGTTTGGACTCGTTTTCTAGGATTATCAGAGCTGCCCAATGAATGCCACTGTTCGCGTTTCTCTTC